CTTTCTGCAAGAACAAAAATAAAAGCAAGAGGAAAAACAACAATCAGTTTTGATTTATCTTAAAAGCTTTCTTCCTTTTTCAGGCATGGAGTTATTGTTGATGAAAAGAGGTGAGAGGGGTCACTGTCATCCTTCTACATCATTCTACATCTACACACACCATTTTTTTGGGTCTGGTCTAGTAAACAGACTGACATGGACCTTCTCTGGAGACACCTTCCTGGGACTCCGGTCAGAGCTTGGATCCCTGTCTCTGTGTCTGTTTTCTGACACAGGCTTGTGGTTTGTTTTACTGCGTGGGTGATGGGCAAGAGGCTGGACAGGCAAGGACCGAGTGACCTCCTGAGCTTTCCTCCTCTGGCATCGATTGCCGCTCTGGACAGTCGTTCAGCAGCCCAAATGCAGCCCAGCATCATCACAGTAAACAGCAACATGTTGTAAGAGCACTTACTCTCTCCGGAGCTACTTGTAGATCTTGCTTCCTAACATGTTGGCATTCCCACATGAAGCAATTAGCCTTCAGTCAGTAGTGAATAACAACCCTAACCTAAATAAATAACAGCAGTATTAGATTTCCAAAGTCTAAGCTTTATAAAGTACAGACATGATGACTAAAGATAATCTAACCTAAGGATTCCTTGTCCCATTTCTATATTCTGCTACAGACAGTACAAGTATGTGACATTTTTATAACATACATAAAACAAATGATGATCCAGAAGATACTGTTAAAAATGCTTCATCACTGTTTTATGACTTTTTATTTTTAGCAGCTCAGGATAATTTTGAGAACAATCCACTCTGAGATTCACTATGAAATTAGAGTCTTTGTGATCTTGCGGAAACTTTCTTTTCAGTGTTACAACCTCTATTTTTGTGCCTGGACATTCAGGGAAGGCCTCTGTAGTTGAGCTAATCTTTCCTGGTATGCACATTTCTGGCTAAATCCAAGTGACTACAGATACCTGCTAACATTAGAGAGAGTTGGAGCTGTGGTTTGAAATATGTCCTCATGCTGAGTTTAGACAAATAAAGAGTGTGAGATTTGCATGGTACTTAAATAGTTTGTAGGATGCCTTTGCCTTAAGTGCAATATTTCATGAATTTGTTTTCAATAAGTTTTATCCAGCCTCCCACTCACTATAGGTCTAAACAGGGTCTGTTGATTTTATTAACCTTTGTGCTGTTCTGAATAGGTGAAGGTACTGGCACTCTAAGAAAAATCTTACTGATATTCGTACTTCATAAATTTTATGCCCACTAAAAAAAAGGCATTGTGCTTACATGAACTTGCCAGGGACAGAGCATTTCCTTCAGTTAATTTTTAAGTCCCATTTCTGTGGCTGAATTTTAACATCTTTTAGGAAAAGTAAGCAAATGGTGTATCTCGAGCTAAGTTTTTCAGTGAAATACTCCACCAGGTTATCTCCTTCAAGGGATACTTACCCTTAGAGATAATAATTTCCTTATTTCTAACCTAAATATCCCAGTTCTAGGCATTATGTCCTCTTACACTCATAAACATCTGGTAGAACGAGAGGCAGGTAAATAGGGAGGGGGAGAGGATCGATGGCTCTAGCTGGGACTGGAAAAACGTCTCCAGAATTTGTACTGCTGTTGCTGACGCCACATGCTGATGCCTCTTCACTTCCCTGGCCGTGGTGGTCCATGGACAGGACCACACTTGCAGGCACTGGTCTCCATGCCATGTGCAAGATTACTGCAGCAGCAATAATCTGGGGAGAGAAGGCAGGAGCCTTGTTGGGGCCTCCTTTGGCCTTCCTGAGTCATTAGCAATCACTGCTGGTAGCCATGGCCTTGTATTTGCTCTTTGGTCATTTACATGTGTTCTCTCAGCAGGGATGTTTACAGAAAGATTTAGAGAAAAAACAGGTACTAGCTTTTCATTTATTTCATGTGTAGTATTATAGTGTCATAACTTCAATATCAAGCGGAATTAAGTCGAGCATCATCCTGAAGTTTAAGGTTATTACGCCAGCATTAATACCAAATCAGTAATTTCCTCAGAAAATAGCTGTGAGTTTGACAAGGCATGTTTTCCTAAATGTATGCTCATTTGTATAAGTTACCTTCTTTTAGTATGTTATTAATTGAATGGTATCTTCACTATTTTGTCAAGATTTCTGTCAGGACGACAAGCCACAGTTGCTCATCTCACCCTGCTTATCTGTTTTAAAATATCATACTTCCCTAACACTTTACACCCAATGGTTTGTGTACTGCGCGAGGAGGACAGTTGCTGTCCACAGGTGATGATTAGGGTTATAGAGGACAGATTTTGTACCCATCTGAAATCAAGGATGGATTGATATTGATGTGCCTATAAAGAAACCGATTTCAACATGCAGAACGACATTCTGGGGCTTAAAAGCAAAAGCACAATTTGCACTGGGTGATAATCACTTCCTCTGCTTGGCTGATACTGAGATTAATGAAGAGTAGACAGGAATGAGTCAAATCACCTCCTGTCCAGAGATGGCCCCGCACTGAGCAGCTGAAGTCATTTGCATGGGACCAGCGCTAGATGCCCTTGACACAAACACAGTGGCCAGGCTGGCACCTCTCAGCTCTTGTTTACTCCAAGGTGAATAAGCAGGGACTCCCTATGGCCAGTACTGCCCTCCCCTCCCCTCTCATAAGATATACTTTGGGTGGTTTATGATGGATTAGAAAAAGGTGGTATGAAGGAGGCAACCATGCCTAGCCCCAGGCTCTCTGCCATCCAAGAGGGCCAGGGAACATGCTGCCTTGGCTTCCCATCAGCACAAGGGATCAAAGACAGTCCTGCTCTCCCTCAGAAAGCAGCTGTGAGGAGAAATGTGCCACAGGCATAGAAACACCGTGGTAATGAAGGCCAGGGGCTGCATGATTGAGAAAGGCAGCAGATAGCACCACACCCAGGAGCTTGTAAAAAAAAGGGTGGCCATATAAAAGGAAAATGAATACCTAGCACTGTAATAAAGAATTAGAAATAGAAAAGATTTTTTAAAGTTATAGAAACCCACTAGCCACAAAATATTCTTTGATAGTACTCAGCAAGATTTCCTGTTTCTTTTTAAGTGTCTGGGTCAGGTCAGTGGGGAAAGGAATCAAACCAGGTAAGTTAATGGTTTTCTCCAAGTTAGCAATTCTTGTTTTAGTGTCACTAATAACTAAATACGGGATTGCTGTTAGCAGTAATAGTATTCTATCCCACATTTTTCTTGTCTTTTTCCATATAAAAATGATATAATAAACTGTTAAGAAGCCTGTGTCACATACAAGATGCGACACGTCTTGTGTTCTACTCTTTTTCTGACATTCATCACCTTCATTTGTTGTGTCAAGGAACAAACCAGTATCATCATCTCAACTTAGTATAGGACTAGTTTGGTTGAAACTGCTTTGCAGAAAGAGCAGAAAGTGGTCAGGATGTTCTCGACAGTCCCATTTTGTAAGATCTCATCTAATTTTGTGTGGCACCTGATGACGCATGTGCTTTGATTTCATTGGAACTCTGTGTTTGTTGGGGTGCCACCAGAAACACTGAGTTGGCCCCGATGCTGTACACTTCTTCACGCAAAGTTTGTCATCTTTGAAACATTCTCTGTTTTGTAATGCTATAAAATAGCAATGTTGAAATCATTGAGAAAATATTTTTTAAAAATAAGGCCTATTACAACACACTGCCTAATAAAAACAGACTGCAGTAATAAAGTAAAAAAATCAGTTGCTGAGATGGACTGGGAGTGAGTGGATTCATTGCCAGAAAAGGAGCCAGGAATCATTAGCTCTTCAAGTAACTTAATTTTTCAACTTATTTTTTTCTCTTCCATATCTTTGCAATTTTGAACTTTGCAGTTTTACCCAACAGAATATGTATGTTTCTCATTCTTAATATCAAAAATAGGAGGAATGAAGGAAGTCAGCTCACAGCAAATGATGTAGGTGTGATGACATATTTTAACTTGTTCAACTGTTTGCGATGTGTATAATAAGAAAGGTGTACGAGATCAAATGACTACAGTCAAAAAGTGTGGGGTTTTTTTGCTATTCTGTCCTCTCATCTGGACTCAACTGGAGTCAGAGATCTAGACACACTCATTGACTGATTAGACTCCATATATGGAGACATGCATTCTCATGAAGGTTATCTGGTTGTATACACTAAATTCAGGAGTCTCTTCCTCCTCTGCAATACACTGGTTCTGCTCATGGTATTGCCTGTTGCCCAGTAAATATGTCCCCTCAAGGAATGGGAGAAGGAATATGCACCTGAAGGAAAAGATTTGAACTAAATGGTCCCAGATTACTTTGACCCAAACTAGTTTCCTCTGAGTGATACTTACAGACAGAACTCTAGCCATCTATTAAATAAGAAAAAAATAATAATCACCTGTATTTTCAAGAGCAACATATCTCTTTACTGTTGGAAATACAATTCAAAGATAGTGTAATGGAGAAGAATCTTGCCAGCTTTAGTCCTCTAAAAGCAATTAATACATGTAATAAAACTCCTGCACTTTTAAAATGAATTCCCCTTCCTTGATCCAAGGTTAAGGTGATTGCGGCTACAAACCTGATGGGTAGGCATTGCTGCTTCTTCCCAGTACACTTCCCCTAATGTGGGTTGAAAGCCTGCACTTGTCAGCATGACCTCTCTCTAAAAGCGAAGTTGATGCAGCAGGAGAAGGCAATCAGGGAGGGAAGAGTGCTTTCCTGCAGGTATCAGAGCTCAGCGTTTTCCCTCGCTCTGAGCAGCAGGCTGCAAACAACAGTGCCACAGGAACGTGGTTGTCTGGGGACCATGACAATCATCTAGTACCAAACAGAGGGGAGTTGATTGCCTGGAAAAAAAAATGCTCCTAAATGTGAAATAACCTCTTTGCATATATCTGTGGCTCTGGGATAGTGCTATCACATTGGGTGACTGAAGTGTATCTGATTATAAACTGCTTGTTTGGGAGAACTCATGTATGTTTTCCACATTCTTTTTACAGCTCCCAAGTCTACCTTTTGCCCCACGGAGGAGACCTGGTGGCCAGGCCTGGTTATTACCATTGCAGTATGCTGCGCCACACTAGTGTTCCTCTTTGTAGTTGTCATCATTTGCTACAAAGCCATAAAAAGGTAAGACTACAGGTGCTTCTACAGTGCTTAGGGCAATACAATCCTTCAAAGGCTTACCTCAGACTTGGCTGATGTCTTGTTTTTGTTTAAAGGCATCCTAAAGGCAAAATGCATACTATGCACATCCTATAGTCAATGTGTGTTTTCATTGGAGAGTCACCTTTTCTTGCCTGTGTAAAGGATGATGTTCAATGCACAGCCATGGGCCAGAGGATGAGAAAAACTAGAAATGGGACAGAGCCACAATATTCAGATCAAAATGAACTTCTCCACAGATAAAGTATTGCAAGAGTGCCGAGGAATGTTGATAGGTTTGGTTTGACTCAGTAAAACAGGAAACACTTTCCAATCCAGTTACAGACTTGTGTGCAGGGGTGACAGTATTCAGAATTCATACATGATGGATGTGAAATTTTTGGCCCAGGTCCACCACTAATTACAGCTTTTCAAATTAATGAAAATCCTTTCAATCCAAACTCTAGGGTAATCCATGCAATTTTGGGGGGAGACTCTAATTCTAACTCACTCTCAGATCATAATGATCTTTGACAAAATCAACCCGTTTCTTTTCATTTAAAAGCTATATGAAGAATGCTTACTGTGAGAAGTAACCATTTCAGCTCTCTACAACTGTGTTTGCTCATGTATCACTGTCTTTAGGATGTATGTGCTAGTATAAGCCTCAGGGAGTTAGAAATATCGATTTCAATTACTTAGAAAAATGTAACAACAGGATCATTGCTTTGTCTAAATAATATTTCAATTCTCTAGAAAAAAAGTCAAAACTGGAAATTTCTATATGAAGGCTTAAACTGTGAGTCTGGAGTGGTAATCTGGAAAAGAAAATATCATGTGAGAGTTGTAGTTGGGATGGAGGGAGTTTCTTTTCTCATCTATGGGCTTATGTATAGCCCCAGGGACACCCAGGAATTTTATGGAGTTGCCACAGGTGCACCCTGAGAATCATGGGCATGAGCTGTGGTGCAGCTGGGCGACCCAGTCCAAGCAGAGCAGTATTCAATCCAACAACTCTTATGAGATAATGCAATGACGTCTGAGTCACAATTTGGATTAATTTATGGTTTTTTTTTCAGCTTTGAGTTTTTTTGTTTCGGGGGGGATAGGGGTAGGAGAGAAACAGAAAGTACTTTTCACAAAAAAAAAACATGTATATATATATACACACACACACATATATATATTTCTACAAAAAACAAATGCAAGATTTTTGAATAGCCTTAGCAGAAATATCACAATGTAACCATTGCACATGCTTTGTGGTTGTCCAAAAACTTACCCAGGATATGAAGAATATATATCCAAGAGCATCAAAAAGGGATAATTCAGACAAAATGACAGAGATCTGTAACTAATTTCTCATTAAATTTACATAAGTATCTATTCTGCTTCTGGTTCACTAAAATGAATGCTTGTTAGTTTTGAGGAATTGTAAAGCTTTCACTCTACCAGCGGAACTTTCAGAAAGAATCAATTATGACTGAAAGTCCATTTGGATTGCTGATCTCATGCAAAATTTCTACCTGTATTTCCTAAGCTGACCTCAGCTGTTCATAGGAAATTGGTCCAATTCCATGTAGAAAGTTGAATATGATTCAAAAACAATTATTGCATTTGTCTGCCTATTGTCAAGCTGTGACTGATTTCTGCCAAGGCTGCAAAATAGGCCAATGAGAGCAATAGTTCTCCAGGGCAACTTGTGCCTAGCAAAGAGTATTTTTTCAGATCTTCTGTCTGATGCTGATAGATGGGAAGTACAGAAAATAAATTTAAACAGATAAATGTAGAGCTGCTTTGAGAAGTCTGTGGGAGTTCAGATAACAAAAAGCTCTTGTATTTCATATCAGTGAAGTATAATACAGATACTTGATGAAGACACCCATTATTTGTCAACAATGTGAATATCAACATACAAGTCAGCAGCTGAAATGGTATTAGGCTCAGAGAAGTGAAAATTCCTTTTACATCTTGTTGACATTCACACTGCTGCCAAATATTAAGCTGAAAACTGCTCAGAGCTAGAATGGATGGATATGAAAGAAAATCTTATTATTTTTTGCAGAGTAACTAGAGCATTTCTTTTCATCAATGAGTCCTCTCTAAAACATCTTTGTTAAGTGGATGCCCTAAAGTGCTTGGCAGTATTCCTCAATATTTCAGGTCCCTTGATATGTTCTAAAGGATATCTATTGATGAAGCCCGGGAAATAAGATACTTCACAAGAGATAAATCTCTGCCTTTGACACAGAGTATCATCATGCATTGTTGAGCTGAATAGATATGGATAGTCTGAGAAATCCTTCACTGTATTTCTTGCTGAGAGTTAGGCTTGTCTAGAGAAAGAGCAGGGAATTGATCTAGGCGAAGTCAAGTTTCATTCCAGTGTGTTCCTTGTCTGTGGAGAAAATTCCCTGGGAAAATTCCCCACAGGCTGGGAAATTTCATTCTACCTTGGCGTCTCTCACACCTGTGTCTACCTGTGCAACTCTCCAGTCCTTCTTCCAGGCTCTGGTTCTCTGTGTCTCTCCTCTCATTGCAGCATCTCCAAGAAATCTGGCTCCCAGGTCAAGGGCAGCAAGTTATCTCCTTTATAACACACCCAAAGTCTTTCCACTGAGCCATTCCAGATGTCACCCGCTTGTCCCCTATCCCATGGTTGGAGGTTCCTCAGGTTGCAAACATGGTGTGGCACAACCCTCTTGTGTCCTCTAACAAACGGCATGCACTACTTGCCTTGATGTAGAAACCAGAACCAGCCTTGCCCAGGCCCCGCTTCTTTCTTCTCCTCTGGGTGAGGGCCAGGAGGACACCAATGTCATTGTGCCCCACAGCACCAGGTGTGCAGAGGACAAACCTAAAGGCACGGCTCTGTGAGTGATGCAGGGAGCGGTGACAACCCTGTCACATGCGGAGCACACTTACGCAGAGGCAGTCACTGCTCTGCTCTCATCTCCATCCCTTACTCCATTTGGAGCACATCTGAAGGTTTCTAGAGGGAGCAGAGCCTTTATTCCCTGTCGCTGTACACAGAGACAGAGGAATGACGGGAGCAGCAGAGTACATGGAAGAAAGGGCTGTTCACAATGATCAGCACAAACTGACCCCAGGAGCCCCTTTTCCCTCAGTTTCCTCCCCTACGAAACAGATTTAAAGCCACTCACCTGCATCTCAGGATATCATTAAGACTCCATCACTTGTTGAGCAATGTAAATATGAATTATTTACATTGCAGGAATTATTATCCAAACACACATTCTGTAAAACCTTGCACAAGAGTGTCATCCTCCAGACTTTCTAGACGTGATTTTTTTTGCTGCTTTCTGGAGGAGCAAGGGAAGGAGATCCATGTCATCACATTTGGAATCCCTCATTCTGACAGGTGCCCGTGGGTGCAGTAAAACTGTGTAGTGCCAGTAAGTGTAAAAACTGGCTTGCCTGTAGCAGATGGCTCATATTGTGTTTGGTGCAACAGGAACAACATTTAAAACTTCTCGCCAGCCCATTAGCTAAAAAAAGATAGGTGAAAATAAAAATATCAAGAGCATACTAAACATCATTTCCTTTTAAGGTATATCAATGGGTAAAAGATGTGCTATAGTCCAATCTGAATTAAACTATAGCACAGAGGTATATGGCATATATCTCGCAATGACAAATCCACAAGTATTACAGGAGGCTATTGCAAAGAACCTTATCACAATAATTTGATTTCACAGTTTGTTAGTCTTCCAAATGAAGGGGGTTTTATAGTCTGAACATCAATGATATCCATATCCTGTTTGCTTAAAGCATTTGGATTGCCTTAATTAGCTGTGTATGCACTGAAGGGCTGCTAAAGAGTGAAATAACGGCAGTTGTCTGGTTCTAGAGTGTAGAAAGAGTTAAAAGATTTAGCAGGAAGGTGCAGGCAGAGATTTATTTGCACAGAGGTTGGATCTGTTGTATTAATCCCTCACTTTTATAAGAATCAAATTTAAAGTAGAAATAAAAAGAAGAAAAATCCTATTGTGCTTAAGTTAAAATCTCATTTACTGTTTTCAAAGAGCCAGGTCTGATCAAACTCTCTCATGACTGCTTATCTATAGCAGGAAGAGAGGGGAGTTACTGTCCTCAAAGTATCATCACTCAACTGTATTTTTATTGAATCCTCATGAAAACCATCTCCTGATGTTTTTTGTTTTTTTTCCTCTGTAAAAGCTAAAACTTCAGCATATCACCAGGTTTGGGCACTAATGCTTTTTGTCAAAAACGCAACCTAGTGGACTGATGCTTCCATGTGTAAAGTAATTACTAGAACCAAAGTAGTCTGCTGTTATCATCATCTCCATGAGAAATATTCAAGTTCCACCAGCACAAAACGATCATAACAAACCCTGTAATGCATTCCGGTGCTTTTCAATCCAAATAGCAAAATGTGTCAGCCAGCACTGTCAATCAGTGCTGTCAGACAGGTGAAACACTCAGGAAAATACATAAGGAACAGTTTTTCCAAGGATCTTAAAGCCACCTCTAAACTTAGTGCATGCACTGCAGGAGTTGTTAGCATTAGATGCCATGTGGCTGGCATGCCAGGGCTGGCGCACCAGCTGCAGCACTGTGTTCTTGCATAAATCAAGGCCTGGAAGAGATCACACATCATGTTATCTTGTGCTGCAGCACAGTTATATGCATGGTGATAACACCCTCAGTAGAAAAGATGCTGTACGTACCGAAGTGCCTTGAGAAACTATCAGTTATTTTCTCATCTTGGTGGCAGAGGAAAAATTTCTCTTTCTAAAAATGTGAATTTTCCCATAGGAAATGCTTCCATGGCACATTAGTAAGGATTGGCCAAATGTGTGGCACTTCTTTGTGTCAACAGCAAAGACCATCTGTGACACCTTTCACTTGAGGACTTCTAGGACAGGCATAATGACTAGGTAACACTCAGATCCATAATAAGCAGTGGGAGATTTATGCTCATTTTTCATATCAGAAAAGTG